AAAAAAAAAAAAAAAGTGGGCGGTAGTAGCGGCATTGTCATGGCCGCACAGGCTGCCGCGCTCCGCCACGGCTCACCCCAGCAGGACTAATTTGTTGCAACTTCTGCTTTACAGCTTAATCTCTTTCTGCACAATCGCAAATCGGTTTTTGTAAACCTCACTCCTAACCTTGGCTCCCAAACCGCTGGCGCAGTTTACCAACTCTCCCCCCCCCAGACCTTGCCTTAAAACAAAACAACAAGAAGGGGGTAGGAAAAAAAAAACAAACAACACACAACACAAGCCAGTTCCCATATACCTGCTCCCTTCCCTCTGCCAGCCTCTAAAACCAAGCCAGAACACATAAAAAAAGAGAAGCAAACCCCCACAAAAAAACCCCAAAACAAAACAAAACAAAACAAAACAACAACAAAAAAAACCACAAACAAAAAAACCACTGAAGCCACTAAAATTAAGACGGTCTTTTGAGAAATAAGAGGTTAAAACAAAATTGTAAAAGAAATTTCGAAACCCTAGCATTCGGAAACCAGGAACCATAGAAGGAGTGGTAAATTGGCTGAAGAATAAGGCATATACTGACTAAGTAGAGCATTCCTCAAAAAGATAACAGCATTCTTCAAAAGATAACAGCATCCTTCAAAGAGATTACAACTCAGCAAATCCTAGAATGAGCCAAAAGGACAACTTGACTCTATTATGCCTGCCAAAACTACCTTAAAAGGAAAAGGTATGAAGAAAGTTCAAAAGTTTACGTTGAGGAAGACCTACGACCGACCACTGCCCATGATGAAGATTACAGGAACTCCCACCTCTAAACCTCCCCAAATTGAAGACTCCGCCTATATATGAATATTACAAGTAGATGTTGCAATGTGATGAATATGCATGTAAAGATGTTGTAACTCACACTCAAAACTGTATAAATAGGTCACACGGATTGTACTCGACAGAGCTCTTTGTCCAGGGCGACCTGGGGGCTCTCCAACGCGTTGTATTAAAATACCTCCTGCTTAGAGCATGAAACTTTGTCTCTAGGTGGTCCTTTATGCTTGTTTGGGGCAAAAATTCGGCATCACCACCTTGCATTGCTCGAGTTTTAAGAAAGTGCCCGGATTCCCCTTAGACCAAAGTTCTTGACTTGTATCTCCCGAAGTGGGAGGTGGTCGCGACATGCGACTGGCAAGTCTGCCACGGGAGGTGAAAAAGCTTCAGGAGCGGGGGGACATGGGAAGCTCCCCTAAATCCCCTGGCATCTGACACGATGCATCAGCCGTGTCTCAAACTCCGTCCCTCCACCCGGCACGGTCCTCGGGAAAGAGCCCTCCTAGCCTCCAGTCCCAATCCCGGAGGGAAAGCAGGGTCAGTCCCACCAGCGCCCGGGGCTCGCACTGCCCCTGCCCCATCCCCCTGACACTGCGGAGCCCAGCGCTGCGCTTCGCTCCTTGTTTTGTTCTTTTCAAGCCCTGCGCCTCCCACTCCCCACCTTCTAACACACACCCATCCCCGAGTGCTTGCAGAAAGCCACCCTTCCTCAGAGAAAACACCGCTCAGCGAGCCCACAGGGGCCCGAAGGGCCCCCCTAGTGCCTTATAGACTTGGGATAGCCTCTCGGTCGCCCTTTCTTTCCCTTATTTGCATCCTAATGGTGGATCCTAAAGGGAACCTGTCTACACGCTTTACATTTGATGTCTTCTCGGGCTTGATTTCCTGGGCGTTTGCTCCACTGAACTGGCACTGGGGGAGTCTTCTGAAACCTCTTCTTCTGTTGTGTTGGCTCTTTTATTTTGAGGAGAGGAATCTAGGAGGGGAAGATTAAAAACGGGTGGGGGAGCGATATTAAAATATTTTGCTTCCAGATGTTTTCTCGGCATCCAGGGGGGATAGACGGAGCCGAGGGGGAACATTCGCGGATCCCCACGTCAGGTCGGCTATGTGAAGCGAGGAGGGGTAGGGGAGATGGACTTCTCTCTAGGTAAGAGATCCAAGTTCCCTCTTTTCGGCTAAAATCCATATTCCTCTTTTGCTGAGCACTGTGAACCTCCTCCCACCTGGGCAAGAGGCCGGGTCCCTGCAGAAGGGCGGTGAGGGGTTGGGAGGGATGACCCGCATCTAAGGGCTCTTCCTCGCAAATCATCCCACTCAATGCGGGACCCCCCAGGACTGCAAACAGTACCCGAGCTTTTTTAGGGGGCGGGAGGGGGAGGGGGGGACACGGTGAGCCGGTGCCCAGCGGGGCACAGCCCACTGCGCCCAGGCCACGCGTGGCAGGGGCGAAGGCGTCGGGAGCCCTGGCGCTGAAACGAGTGGGGCGTGGAGATCAGCGCCGCTGCTTTCGCGGGGGTACGTTAGCATTGGTCATGGGTCTTTTCCTCTGCCCAGTGCACTGCTCTGCTAAGTCCGTCTGATTTTCTGAAACATCAGTCTTTTGAGCTACACAGTGAGTGTCCTCTGAGATTCCCTGAGAACCGACAAAAACTACGGTTTGGCAATTCCTGTTTACATCCAAACTCTGGCGGGTGGTGGACTTGCAGACGGCTTTCTGTAGCCAGGGAGGTCTGAAGTAGAAGTCGGGCGACCTTCCCTTCTCCACGGCTTGCCATTCGTACCTGCCTTCCAGTGGCTTGTGATTCTGGAAATCGAAATTCCACTTCCTCTGGCATGCCTCCTCCATCTCCTGCAGGTGCTTCTTCAACTCCCTTTTTAACTCTTGGTGATTCACCACCCCGAAAAGATTCCTGCACGCTGACGGCTTCGGGTACTCCGACTGCCTGGCCTCCATGCACTCCAGGGTAGGGCTCCCATTAGAAATATGGACGTTTGACATCTCCCCGCTCCCTCTTGCTCCAGGTGGCGGTTGTTGTTGCTCACTGCTCTCCCTCCCCCGGCCGCCACCGCTGCTGCCTCTCTGCTGCCCTTTATTTCCCGGTGCCCAGCGGGTAGAGCTGGTATCCGTGCCCTGTGGGTAGACCTGTTTCTCCTGTTTGGCAGGTAGATCTGGTGTCTGAATTTAGCCGGCAGACTAGTGTCACGTCTAGCCGGCTCCTCTGGGCGATCAGGTCTACCCGCTTCTGAGCCTGGTCATGGCCGGGGATGGCAGCCCGATGGCCCCACGGCATCCTGGCAGAGGGCGGGCGCCCAGGTCTAGCTGGTTCCTCTGCGCGACCAGGTCTACCCACTTCCGAGCCTGGCCGCTCCGACCGCCACGGCCGGCGGGCTGACGTCCTGGCGGCCTCCTGGCAACAGGCGAGCAGGTCTACCCGGTTTCGGCGGGACTTGGGCTGCTGGCGGGCTCTCTCGGGGTAGACCTGCTCTCTCGGTCGGCCCTGAAAGTCGTGCAAGGGGTCGCTGTTGGGCGCTGCCTCCAGTTAGGTCATGGTAAAAGGCGGCGTGCTCTCGCGCGCCACCCCGGTGAGGCTCCTTGGACCGTCTTGGAGGTGTGGAAGGTTCAGGACGTGTCTGTCCGTCCTATGGGCAGGGGTTGCCAAGCAGCACAGATTGGGTGAGCACCGTTTCACCGCATCTACTGCAAGGCGTGGCCTCTCACGTGAGCAAGTTACCGGCCGGCACCCCACGAGCGGAAGGCAAGAGAGAAAGTGGAGCCCCGTGGCTCTGAGTCGGCTCCTCCAGGGCAGCCCGAGGATGAGGGAGAGGCGAAAGCTCGAGTGGAAGGCACGAGGAGGCGAGTGAGGGCGGGACTGGGACGGCACAGGGGCACGCAGGGGCCCGCCAGCTTCCAGCCTGAGCCGGCGGCGGTTGCCTGACGCAGCCCGAGTGAGGGAGGAAGGCACGGACGACACAGGGGTTCTTTCACTCTGTCACAGGTTTATTGGTAGAGGAAGGAGATCCCCAGGGGTGAAGGGTGTCATCCCCTCACTGAGGGGAGGACACGTCTTTTATAGGGTCCGGGGAGGAAGGGACTAGAACTTGGGAGAGTTTCAGGATTGATGTGAGGGTACAACCAATAGGGGAGTTACAAAATACATTACACAATCAACAACCAATCAGATGAACTGACAACGTTAACTGTACCCACCCATACTGTGGCAAATTTTAACCTATCACTGAAGAGAAAACCTCA